TATGTCCTGAAAATTCATATGAAATCTTGACTATTATTTTTGGAGGCACCGCTATTCTTAATTCTAACCATTAATTAATTGTCTCAAGGATCGTGATTCGTCTTCTTCAGTGTAAAATGAGAGTAATAGGTGTTACATATGAAATGAATCACAATCCTCCAAAAATCTAGTATAAAAGCAATGATCTGGCCGGTCTAGAAATAACGATCTCTTCAATATTTTTCGCTAGTGGAGAGGATCCAAATTCATTATTTTTAGTTATAGATTTTCAAGAAGAATTTACTATAGTTGGTCATAATTGTGATAGTTACTTGGGCTTATATATAAAGGTAAAATTTGCGCCAGGTAGAAATACTTAACTACTAATGGCAAAAAATAGCTAAAAATAAAAATATTAATAAAAACAAAAACTAATGGTAACATATAGAATTAAAACAGAGAAACTGAATATAAGAAGAAAAAACATGAACAATCAATTAATATTATTGACAGAGAGACATGTGACTTTTCATTATGAATAACACTAAATACCCATATTGGTATTTTAATTCAACCTCATTTACCAAGAAGGTATTTAAATTAGACAAATCTACTTTAAGGCATTTTAATTGACTCAACTTACCAACAAGGCCCTTTTTCTTGTCGACGACCAGTTTTTCGGCGAGAGCTCGTCACGTGCATTGCACGTTATGACTTAAACTGTTATTAAGCATCTGATGTGGCACGGTCTCATCGCATAAAACCTGGAGCTGGTCTCTAAACTTGGCATTTTCAACATGGCAAGCCTTCACTTCGGCCTCAACTATTTGAATCTGCCTATCCCTGAGCTTCAAGTCACTCCTCAAGTTAAGTATTTCATCTTGTAGAATAGGAAATAGAGTAGAAGACACATTGCACACATGTTTATCAAACCATTCCCACATTCCACAGCCACCATTAGGATTTTGACATTTATAAAACCTTCTCCCAGGATTTTCATCTGTAAATGATGTATAATACCCACAGTCCATTCCACGCTTACAAATTTTCATGCCAACCATCCTTGCTTCCTCATTTCACCTTCTAATACTTGCCAAAGCATTCAAACCATGATTAATACTTACATGCGATCCCAATCTTCCACTGACCCAACTTGCTTTAGAACAAGAGCTTGAACTTGATGACGACGACATAATATCTTCTCTTCCACGCTCAATCACAGCTTGAATGCCCCCATTTGATAAACCTTAGTTTTTTCCAATCTCACCCAAACGAGAGCTTGAATCCCCTCTTTTATTCTCTCAACTTCTTTGTCCACGTCAGAAAACTGTGCCACATCAGCTGCTTAATAACAATTTAAGTCATCACGTACAACGCACGTGACGAGCTCTCGCCGGAAAACTGGTCGCCGACGAGAAAAAGGGCCTTATTGGTAAGTTGAGTCAATTAAAATGTCTTAAAGCAGGTTTGCCTAATTAAAATACCTTCTTGATAAATGGAGTGAAATTAAAATACCAATATGGGTATTTAGCGTTATGAATAAAATGGGTACTAATAGTATCCCTTTTGTCGCATCCCAGCTGGCCCATTTTATAATGGTAGACATCTAGACCTGTCCATTCGGCCCGGCCCGGCCCGGCCCGGCCCGGCCCGGGCTGGGCAAAACCGGAGCCCGGATCCG